CTACACCACCACGCGCATGCCTCGCGGCGGATATGCGCAGCAGCAAGAAGGTTTCGGTCATCCGTTGAGGGTGAGTCTAGCCCTGCTCGCCAGAAAGACCCCCCCCTTCGCTACAACCCATGTCTAAGCAAAAGCTTGTCGAGGAGCGAGGGGAAGAAGGGGTACCATAAACAACGATAAAACGAATAAAAAACGAAAAACCAACAAACAGTACCCCCAAGACCAGGCCGCGATTTCCAAGTCAAGGCCACATATTGTTGCGTCTACACAGTGTTTTACCTGCTCTTGGAGGAACTCCGCTTGTTGGATGGCGTCGGCTTTCTCTCGTTCCGCGCAAAGTATGTGCTCTTTCCATTTCGCCTTTACGTACAACGGAACAAGCACGTGCGATTCAGCGGGTTCAATGTTTTCAGAGCGGGAAGGGAAATGTGGAGCCCTTGAGGTAATCCGTGGACATGCATATCAAAATTCTTGCGAACCGATTGGCACCTCTGGGGTCCCCATCCTCTACCAGTCGAAGGGGAGTACAATAGGTACGTCGGGTGGGTAAAGCCGCACCGACGTGTAGGGAGAAAAAGGCATAGAGGGCATACAAAAAGTCATTGATTCGTTGTGATACTTGTAATAATAACGTAGGTTCTACGGTAGACTGCAGTACTACACAGATGACAAGGCCTTGCCGAAAAAACATGTTCGTGTGTGCATGAGCGGATGAGGATATTCCAACGGGACTGTAGAAAGTGACTTTGCGTATAGGAATTGGTGGTACCCCGAGGTTGAGTTTATGGTTGATCCACGGGGCTCGGCTGTCTGGGAGTGGCAGTGCTTGCTGCGTTGCGGCTCTCCCTCTCCCGCCGCGTCCTGATGGTGTCTGCTGTCCTGAATAAAAGTGATACATCATCTTCCAAACACATACAAGGGTTACAAACAAACCGACCTTTTCTTCCACAAGTCGTCGTTGTGCATCTTGTTGCATGCACTCGAGATCGTGTTGGAACTTCTCTCGAAGTGCTTGCGATTCTGCCAGAGAATCCTTCATCTTCGGCATGTATCGACGTTTACGGGCAGCCAGGGCGCACACGACAGCAAGCGGAAGGGTACCGTAAGTTTGTGTTGCCCTTGTGCAGCAGGTTGATGATTTTGGCAGGTTTCTTTTAAGTGTACTGCTGTGCATAGTCTACAGCAGTAATGTATTGTCGCGGGGTGCATATTTCGGCAGATCCAGCTTGAACAACTGCTGTGCTGTATGTACACAGCAGTTAGAGGCGCTCACCTGGGCCTCGAGTTCTCTTTCCATCCGACGGAGCTTTGTAGAAGGAGATGCATAGTTCCCCACAGCTGACACACAGTCAGCCGTAAGAGACATCGCTCAGCACGACGAGCACTAACCAGAGAGGAATGGCCATCGGATCTTGTCGGGGGGGGAGGGCACAATTTTGTCCCCGGGTTTCCATATCAAAATTATGGTTCATAGAGAAACGGTGAATCGATTACATTTTTTTCCGATTTCATGCGTCGATCTACGTCGATGCGCCAATTGCTTTCCCGTGCCAGTGGCCTGGTATACCACGATAGGGCGCAGGGAGCTTAGGGCGATGACGGTAGATGTTAAGCAGCGAAATTCCCTAGCCGGTGAACATGACGATCCCGCGAAAATACGCAAATATTTAGAGTCGCGGCTCGCCGGCCCTGCCAAGGGGTCGGCTGGGGCACCTCTGGGCGACAGCAGCATACCCATTGCAATGGCACCATCCCAAACCAGCTGCGGCATCGTCGTCACCCCACCAGAGGTGTGTGTCAAGAGGCTGGACACCCACCAAGGGGGATGGGAGGGGGGGGGTGGCCGTCATGTCGCTCAATCACCGCTCCCTTCTGAGTTGAGCACGTCGTCGCTGGATCCGCTTACCTTGCTCCTGTATAGTCTAGACTAGTCTCGAATCCCCACCGCAGCAATTGTGGAGACGCAAGAGGTCAACTCGAATGGCGATCATGCAGACCAGCTGGACGCACCATTGTACTCTCGGTACCTCAAGGAAGTTGCAACCGAAGGCGTGAGAGAAAATTCTCTCGCCTATCCACCAGAGCTCTTCCTCGTTGTTTCGTCTGCGGCACCACATGATGAGCAGGTTGTGTTCGAAGATGTTCGGGCAGGCCTTTTGTTCGTGCTCACCTTCTCTGTCCAAAACACGTGCAGAGAGACACGCCGTCTGCACGTCATCCCGCCGCGCACACCCGCCTTCAGCCTCAACTACGAGCCCGTCGGCGGACTCGCGCCGGGACTTGATGTTCGAGCCGAGGTAGAGTTTCAACTACCGGATGACGACGAGGTCGATGATCTCGACGTTCCATTTTCTCCGAGAGAAGTGCGAGAGTATGTGGACAAATTTGTCATCATATCGGGAAAGGATAAGGTGAGGAGGATCGATACCTGCCGTACAGCAGTGCTGGAACATACCAACTTGTTTTTTTATTGGCACACAGCTATAATTTCACTAAACATACAGTAGTCGCCAGCGTAGTCTAAGCCTATGTGCAAGATCTCCTCCGTTAGCCTAGTCTTGTAAGACGAAAACGCTTGTGCTTCAGCAGCAGACAGACCGTGATATTCAGAGAGCCCTGAACGAAGCTCAGCATTGACAAATGAAGCAATGGAACCAAGAAACACAACGAAATTTGGACCATGAGGATAAGCTGGTGTTGCTTAGGATGTGCCATCTCAGAGCAAACAGCAAAATGGCAGTGTACGACGACGTCAACAGCGATCAATGCAGTGCTATTTAGCAGACAACAGACGCGAATTTTATGGAATTCTACGTCGTAGTGTCTTGGGTTCGAAATGGTCATCGTGATACCAGTCGAAAAACTCGATTATTACGTTTACTTCACGTTCGCAATTTCACGTCTCTGTTTGATTCGTGAACCAGAACGCAAAAATGACAACCTCTTCAACGTAGACCCGCCTTGAATCATACTCTCGCACTCCCACGTGCTTAACACATGCCCTCAAACCACCAGATTGAGGTGCCGTTGCTGGCCCGCCGGCCAACTCCAGCCGTGGTCCACAGCCGCACGATGGAGTTTGGCACCGTGTGCGACGAAAAAAAGGCGTTCGGTTCCGTGTCGTTGATAAATAAGGGAAGCCGAAAGGCCAACTTCTCCATTACGTGGGACAAAACGTTGCCCCTTTTCTTCAGCCCTTCGGAGGTTAGTGCCTGCCACAACAGCTAAGGCGAAGGATATGTTCCCGTGTCAGTAGGCTAACGTTGCATAAGCACTGGATTGGGTTGCAGTGTAGCGTATCAAACCACAGGACGAGGTGAATTGGGGAATGTCAACAAACGTAACACAATATTTTGCGTTTGGGGACGGCTAGGTGAGCGTCGGGGCAGTTCCAACTTTTATCTTTTGCCCCGGACACTTGAACCCCGGAATTTGTTCCGTCAAGAACGAATGCCTCCAGCCTACCATCTGTTTTTCGACAACATACTTTTCGTCATTGAACGGCATCCAGGGAGTTTTGGACGAAGGGCGAGGCTACCGCGACGCGGAAGACGGCTCAGGCGAGATGACCCCCGGACAGCTTCGGGAGGGTAGCGTCGCACGCCTAGAGGTAACACTACATGAAGGCATTCGGTAAGCATTCTATCCGCTGGTCCATGTTGTGTGTGCGCGTGCTTTCACGCGTTCTGAATGCTTAGTCGCTCTCCTAATGAAGAGCACCGGAATGGAAGAGTCGGGTTGTATCTTCAACAGGGCACGAGTGATTTGCGACGGATCAAGCCGTATCGATACCAACCGCGCTGTGGCGGCATGGAAGGAAGAGGCATGAGCTAAACTTAGCATGAGTTCGTTGGTCGGTTGTGCGCACTCTTCAGTAAACCCTTCTCGTAGCTAGATCGAAAGTAAAGTTGCACATGAACATGACAACCTGAACGACCCTGTTTGCATTTAGGTATATTTCCGGTTTAATCCAAGTCATTGCACCCCCCATCGTACAGTTCGAATCACCTCCGGTTCCAGTTGAACACAGACGGTTCTGCTTCAACTGTACTTCGAAGTACTTCATATCTCGGGGAAAATGAGGGTCTTTTGCCCCCACTGTCGTTCGAAGTCCTTCACATCAGAATCTGAACCCATTTGGTTCCCTTCCACCATATCGGTCCCTACAAGGGTTTGTCGCTATGGTAAACTCCAAGTGCATCCACGTCCGTGGTGACCACAAACAGAACAGACTGCTTATGAGATTGGTTTCACTGCTCAATTCTCCCTCCCGTCGCTCCATAGGTGTCCTTTGATGCTACCAAGTGGAGCATCACGGTGCCGTTTCGGGCTCTTGCAACCGTTGTTGTGCCGGGGCAGGAAGACGGCGTGATCGACCTCAGCGCTGTTGTTTGTACCCAAAAACTCAAGCTTTTGGACGGAGGTGAGGCCAAGTCGTGGAGCAGGGCAGGGTAGGCTAAGGGTGGGAATTAGAACGGAATGTGTGGCATAGGACAATGGGGTGGGGGGGAAAGAAACGTTGCATCGTAGCGAAGTGGGAGTACGAGCGTATGAAAAACTGAGAGAACGAAACAGGCGGGCGTAAGAGGGTTAATGTTGGCAGCCTTGACGTAAGGGAGAACATGCCTAGGGTGGAGTTAGGTTTAGAAATGAGGCCAGACCCGGGTTGGTCCAGAGTCAGGGTTGACAATAGCGCTAGATTGAGGGCTTAGGGTTCTGCGGGATTACGGGGGGCCACGTTTGGATTAGGGGAGGATTTGCCATAGCGATATGGCTTAGCGTTGGTAGAAGGATAAGACCAAGAAAGAGAGTAGGGCAGGGTGTGGACATATGGGAGGGAGAAAGGGCTTACCTTATGCGGTAGGCTTCAAAAATTCACCCCAGGCAGAAGATATGACGAAGATGTCAAGGTTGGGGCCCTCCCGAGCCCACAGCAGAAGCATACCCAAGCGGAAGCATGTCCTTAACGTGTTTACCAGACACCGCCGTACCGCTGCTGCTGGTACTCTCCGTCCCTAGCGAGTGTCCACCGGCATCACTTCCGGTCCCTCGCCCTTCGTTATCCGCAAACGAATGCAGTCGGACCTTCTGCGTCGGAGCTAAAATCGGCGGAGTATGGCACGCTCCACTACGGCTGCCAGAGCGAGATAACGTCCGTGCTGTTTAACGATGGGCCGGAGGCCGCGCCCTTCATGGTTACAGTGGAGCTGGAGGGCGGTCACCGAGGGAGCGGAGGAGCGGGAGAGCACGGCGGTGGCGGTGGCAAAGCTAAGCTCCCGTTCGAGGTTAGTGGCCACCGAGAGGAGCGCGTTCAGAGGATAGAGAGGGGGTAACGATTGATAATGGAAACGTTTGGATTGTTCATGTTGTAAAAGGGGTACCCCAGGGAGAGTTATTCGAGAGCAGTTGCCACAGGCACAGCTCTATGCTGGACACGGGGTGCCAAGGAGAAAGTTATTTCGAGAGTGGTCTCACAAGCACACCTCTCGGAGTGTGTCGTGTTCGCTCCATCTGCGTGTTGGGGTTGCGCTACCACCCCCTGTGGCTCAAACCAACCTCGGATGCTCACAAGGTGCTATTGACGCGTGGGATTTCGAATGCAGTCCCAGGAACGTGAAGGTGACCTCGGCTGGTGTGAAACACCACGAGCTACATAGGGTTACAACATTGCCTTGGGCTAGATTCCTATTTGCTTTCCATACTGACCTCCTGGTACCCAAGGCAGGAATCTCTATGTACGACCACATACGATATGGGCGATTTCAAAGTTTTCTCCGCGAGTTGGAGACCGTGCGCCAGCAACCGCACTACCAATACTCCCACAGCTCTGATGCGTCGAAAACAACCACCGAGTCGTAATATTTTGGGCGCTTTCCTGCCTCTCGTGCACTGTGACGATGCGGTTTGTGGCTCGTTATTGCTTCGTTCCCACCAGGTTGAGCCGCGCGACGGGACGATCCCCCCGTACGGCCGGCAGAAGGTGGTGGTTCGCTTCATGCCGAGCCTACCGCCGCGATTAAGCGGGTTCAAGGGGGAAGGGTGCGAGCA